GAGAGAGAGAGAGAGAGATGGGGTGGAAAGAAAACGATACTATAGAAAGTACCTAAGGAGGGATGCTGTGACTTCGACCGAGATCCTTTGATGGACATTACAGACTGCCTGCACCCTCACCGTTTCCAGGGTTCTCTTCCACCCCCCCCCTCCCTTCCCCCGCTTCTTTATACCCGTTGAGTTACCTTTTTTTCAGGAGGAGCAGTTATGTTGGACTAATTAGAATCCCACTTTAAGTGTATTGACTCCAATTAAATTTGGGAGTGAGAAAGCAAAAAGAGGTGTATATAATTTTTGTGAGCAGATGGGCCGTGTCTTCGTCTCAGCAAAGAGGACATACCCACAGGAACATTTTCTAACGTGTATTTAAAAAGAAATCCCAAAAATAAAACATTGATTTTTGAAAAAATATGTCCTTCCGAAAAAAAAAAATGAAAGTAAAATAGAAGTAAACATTTTAGAAAAGTAAAACCTTATTTCGATTCGTACAGCCCCTCATTCGACTTCTCCCTAAACATGTCTCACCGTTTTTTGGGGATACAATTTATTTACTGTATCTGATGACGATTGCTTTAAGGATTTATCTTAGTCATTCCCTAACACAGAGTTAGTTTATCTTCATAGCTAGGGTTTTTTACCTTCTCTGAACGAAAACATGGTAGCTTCTACTAATACTACTAATAATAATAATAATAATAATATTAATGATTATTATTATTATCATTTTTATTATTATTATTATTAATATTATTATTGCTATTATTATTATTATTATTATTATTATTATTATTTTTATTATTATTACTACTACTACTAATGTATTCTCTCTTCAGGTCTCTCTACCTTTCGAAAGAATTGTACCAATCCAACTTCCCAGCAAACGCAAGCCGCACACGGATGTCACTTTGACATGTCAGTGCTGGACACCTTCCCAGGTGACCAGACCCAGGAGCGTAAGACCGTTGTGCTGGTACACGGAATACCTGGTCAGGCCACCAACTTTGACTCCCTGATCACGAAACTACACGATATGGACATCCGAGCGATTGCTCCGTCTGATATTGGTACTTTAGGTTACAAAAATAATTGTCAGGATTATTTTTTACCTAAGATGTGATTCTTAGAGACGTCGATATTACTTCCACAGATGCCATTCTGCCCTTTCGTTCACCACTCTGTCCGATGAATTTTAAAGTGTGTCTTGTCTGTTTGTTAGTGTTTTACTTTTAGCGTGCGAAATCCGTAGCTTGTACTGTATGCTTCCCAGGAAGCCGGGAATGCTTCTGAGTGTTCTTTGGTCTGCTGGGGGAATAGTAGTTGTAAAACGCGTAGAGCATGCTACAGAGCGTGAATATGAGCCTTCGATATATTATTAATATAATATTATTATCTATTTATATCCATAAAATAAATCAAT